TAGAGGGCATATGGAACTTGCCTCCTTTTCCAGTATGTTCTCCAATTGCAATTTCTCCTTCTGCTTTTCCTTTGGGGAGTGAAACATCAATGTCTAGCATCTCAATCTTCCCTCCCTTCATGTCTGGGCCTTTTATTTTGACATCACCTTCTGGCAGACTAACTTTTGGTAGAGACACATCAAATTTTGGCATTTTAAACTTGCCACCCTTCACTTCAAGGCCCTCAACCTCAAGGTCCCCCTCAACTTTTCCTTTCGGGAGTGTAATGTCAACATTTGGGATGTTAAACATCCCTCCTTTAACATCAGGATCCTCAAGACTGATATCTACTTCTGGTGACTTTATTTTAGGGAGTGAAATGTCACCTTTGACTTCAGGTCCTTGAATATCAATGTCAACTCCCTTTGCTTTGATTTTAGGGAGAGAGATATCGACTGAGGGCATGTGAAACTTGCCTCCTTTACCACGGTGCCCATCGATGTCAACATCTACATCCATCTTTCCTTTTGGAAGTGAGATATCAACAGTTGGCATTTCAATTTTTCCTTTTACATCTGGTCCTTCCACATTTGCATCGACCTTTGGAAGACTCACTTTTGGTAAAGAAAGATCAAATTTTGGCATTTTGAATTTGCCCCCTTTCATCTCAGGGCCTTCAACATTTATTTCACCTTCAGCTTTTCCTTTGGGGAGCGAAATATCAATGTCCGGCATCTCGATCTTTCTGCCCTTGATTTCCGGCCCTTTTAATTTTACATCACCCTCAGGAAAATTTACCTTTGGTAATGAAATATCACATTTTGGCTTCTTTATCTTCCCTCCTTTCCCTCCTTCAAAATTAATGTCACCTGTGACATTTCCTTTGGGAAAACCAATTTCACAGGATGGTATTTCAATATTTGCATCTTTTCCAGAGTGAATGTCAATATCAATATCCCCCTGTGCTTTACCTTTAGGAAGCTCTATGTTGATTTTTGGCATTTCAAATTTCCCACCTTTTACTTTTGGTCCTTGAAAATTCACATCACCCTCAGGAAATTTTACTGCAGGTACAGATGGTACGTTAAACTTGCCACCTTTTCTTCCACCTTTGACATTGATTTCACCTTCAAATGTTCCTTTAGGGGGTGAAATGTCAATGGTTGGCATCTTAATTTCCCCACGTTTGAGTTCTGGACCCTCAATGTTGATGTCACCTCGCTTTGATTTTATTTTAGGAAGAGAAACATCAATTGAGGGCATTTGAAAATGTCCTTCTTTACCTCTAGTTTTAATGTCACCCTCTGCTTTTCCTTTTTCGATAGAGATATCAACTGAGGGCCCCTCAAGGCCAATATTTCCCTCAGGCAACTTCACCTTTGGTAGAGATACATCAAATGAAGGCATCTTAAATTTGCCTCCTTTTCCTGGGGGTCCTTCAATATCTATCTGACTTTTAATCTCAGTCCCCTTTAGGTCTAAATCTGCCTCTGGTGACTTAACCTTAAACACTGGACCTTCGATGTCAATGTCACCTCCCTGTGGCTTGATCTTTGGTAGTGACACATCAAGAGAAGGCATCTGGATATTACCTCTTTTAAATTCAGAGTCTTGGATTTTCACCTCCCCCTGTGGTGATTTCATTGCAGGAAGAGTGATGTCTAATGATGGCATGTTGAACTTTGCTCCTCCTTTGACTTCAGACCCTTCAATGTCAACCACTCCATCTTTTGTTTTTATCCTTGGGAGTGAGCTGTCAAAAGTCGGCATCTTAAACTTTGCTCCGCCACCACCGCTGCCCTCAAGTTCCATGGTACCCTCTAAGTTTGCTTTGGGAAGTGAAAAGTCAACATTTGGAAGTTCAGGGCATTCTAGCTTGACTTCTCCTGCGGGTAGCTTCATTTTTGGAAGAGAAATGTCCACAGAGGGCAAGTTAAGTTTGCCTCCTTTTACTTCACCACCATCAATGTTCACATCTCCCTCTAGGTTGCCTTGGGGGAGAGAGATATCAACAGTGGGAATGTTTATCTTTCCATCTTTAACTTTAGGTCCCTGCAAAACAACCTCACCCTCAGGAAACTTCATTTTTGGAAGATCTACATTAAACAAAGGCATTTTAAACTTGCCTCCCTTTCCGTCTATGTCAGCCTCTCCCTTGGATTTACCTTTCGGTAAAGAAATGTCCACTGATGGTGATCCAATTTCCCCCCCTTTAATCTCAGGTCCTTGCAAGTCAACCTCAGCTCCAGGTGTCCCCATCTTTGGGAGTCTGACATCAAGTGAGGGCAATTTGAATTTTCCTCCTCTTGTAGATGGACCTTCTATTTCAATGTCACCTCCCATCTTTCCTTTTGGCAGAGATATATCAACAGAGGACATCTGGATCTTATCTCCACTCTCGTATTTGGGCCCCTCTATGTTCATGTGACCCTCTGGTGCTTTCAGTTTGGGTACAGAAACATCAAAGGTGGGCATTTTAAATTTTCCTCCTTTCTCAGCATGTCCTGCGACTTTTACATCTCCAGAAATGTCAACATCAGGTGTGACCAATTCAAATGTATGTCCTTTCACTTCAGGGCCAGCGATGCTGACATCCAACTCCCCTGTCTTCATTTTAGGGAGTGATATGTCAAATGATGGTATCTTAAATTTTCCTTCTCCTTCAATATTAGTTGTTCCAGTTTTGCCTTTGGGAAGGGTCAAGTCTACTTTGGGCAACTTGTAGCCCCCTTCCACCTCTTGTCGTTTTATATCTACTTCTCCTTCTGGTGACTTAATATTTGGTAGAGATATGTCAAAATTAGGCATTTTGAACGTCCCATCCCCACCAACATAATAGTCCATATCCACATCTCCACCCTCCATTTTCACCTTTGGTAGAGAGATGTCAACAGAAGGTAGATTGAATTTTCCTCCACCCTCTGGACATTCCATATTCACATCAGGTGATCCCATCTTAGGTAATGAGATATCAACCTGTGGCATGGAGATTTTCGGCCCTTTGAAAGTGCCCTCCACCTCATCAGGTATTCTTCGTCCAGTGTCCAATTCCAAATCAGCATCAGGCATTAAGATGTCAATGGTAGGCATTTTGATTGTGGTCTTCCCAGCTCCTTTATACTCTGGGAGTGAGACGTCAATGTCAGACTTTCCCTTCACTTTTGGTAAAGAAATATCAACAGAAGGTATTTTATTAGATGCAGATTTTCCTGAAAGGTCGCCCTCCAACTTTGCTGCAGGGAGATCAATGGGCATTTTTACCCCTTCAGCTTTTATCTTGATGTCACCATCTATTTCATCTGAATGACGTGAGAGTCTAACTTTGGGTAATTTCAACTTTGGCAATCTGAGCTTTGCATCTCCCTTTCCTTCAGCTGCATCAATTCCTCCCTTGATATTGATTTGCGGAACTTTGATATCTGCCTTTCCCTTCACGGTGGGCAAAGATGCCTCAGTGGAAGAAGGATCAAACTCCACACCCGGCGCATTAAACTTGAGTGCTCCCCTCTCCATGTCCATGTCTTTATTTCCAGACAAGCTGAAGTCCACTGCTGGTGGCTGGATGTTCACACCTGGCGACTTCAGCTCCACAGATCCAGTATCCAAAGCTGCTCCTGACTTTGTGTGTTTGTTCTTTGGAAAGGTGATTCCAAATTTGTGTCCCTTTTCTTTGGTTTTCACTTTGGCTCCAGGTATCTCAGATGGAGAAATATTTGCATGTCCCTCAATCCGTCCTGTTTCCACATTTCCTCCCCTTGATTTCATACGAGGAAACCTGGGAGAATGGTGTAAAGAAAGGAAACAAAGAGAAATACATTGAAAACATACCAATCAGACAATCATTTGACGTCTTTTCAAATGCAGCTCTTTAGATTACAATTGCCTTAACTGTGACCATTTCACAACACAAGAAGAACACAAAGCCAACCTGATCCTCGTCTTTCCTTTTGCTCCGGCTGCTGCTCCTTCTGCTTCCACCTTCACACTTCTCCTCTGTTTGAATTTGGGGAGAGAGAACTCCACATCCACATCACTCATCTCCAGCCTGGGGGGTGTTCCCTCTATCACCAGCTCCTCCCTGCGCTTCTCTTTCAGCCTCTTCAGACCAAAACGACCACCTCTTTTCTTCTTGGCCTTGAATGGCTTGGTGCCCTTTACACTCTGAAATACACACATTGTGTGTTGGGCCAAATGTTTGGTATATTTTAAGTTGTGAATTTAATCTGAAGTTGTATTAAAAGCCTACAAAAGTCTTTCAATTAGCTATGTCTGATTGTAAAAAAGAAAAATTACACCTTTTTAATGTATACCACACATAAATACAGTATAGATTTGATTACCATTTTGGCCATCTTGGCTTTGGGACCTTTGACCTCCACACTGGGAACTCGAGGCCGCATGCTGACCTCTGCTCCGGGGATGGTCCTCTGCAGTTGGAAGCTGACCTTATACGGCTCCGCACACTGAAGGATCTTCAGAGCATCTTCGTACTTGACGTTGTCGAAGTAGACCTTGGCACTCAGCAGCTGGTCACCTTCACACGAAGCACATCAAGAATTAATGACTCCAGTGTCGAGGCTGCCAAAGTGATTCATGAAACTTCTAAAAATCTTAAATCAATCTGATATGTATTTTATCTCCTCTAAAAATTTAAAAATATGTATTTTGGGTGCTCAGGGTTTAAAAGTAGCGTAATTGAATATCCTCTCTGGGCATTTGTATGTTGCTGTTTCTTGTCTCTCTCTCTCCACCCTTACACCTCGAAAATGTCTGGAATACAACCAAGGGTGGCAAAACTACTCCCACGTGGCTACACACAGTTGGTACTAATACAATTGATAAATACAACGATTTCTCGTGCTTTTACTGGCAAGTTTCAGCTCTGGATGTTAGTTTTTACTGCCCTCCTGTGGTCATTGTGTAGAACTGCAACTTGACAATAAAATGAAAGTACTCATAAGAATCGTATATTTACTAAACCTTTCTCATACGTTTCTCAATTTATTACAAGTCAATAAATGTTTATACTTCTTCCAAATAAGAATTCCATTATTTCCCAACCTTCATAAAATATAATTCTTTGGATTTTTTTTCCATTTGGATAAAAATATATGTAACAAAGCATAATTGCTGGTTCACAAACTCAGGACACAGTTATAATGTTTCTTTTTACGGCACTTTGTGAGGAGCACTGTGAAATGAATCAGAGGTTCTCGCAGGTACCTTGTTGCAGACTGAGATGTTTGGCAGCTGGAGAGTCTTTGAGGACGTCTTTAACAAAGATCCCTCGCTCTCCTCCGCCAGTCACGCTGTAGCCGCTGGCTCCAGCCTCCGCCTCCGTTTCCACCACAATTAGCATGGAACTAGAGGCCTCATCCATGCTCTGAAACACACACAGACAACTTATCACCCAAAACAAGATTTTGTGCAAAATCAAGATTTTTTTTTTTATCTCTGTTGTGTTTTGTCCTCATTATTTATGGTGGTAAGTTTGAGCTGAGGCTGAATTACAATAACAGTTGTTATGGTAATAAGATGCCTGAAACCCTACATTTTCCACACACTGTAGCAGAATGACAAATCATCGACTGACAGCATAATGCCCCCAAACAACTCACACTGCAATTTACTGCAGCAGAATGTGCCTGCTGTCTCCAAACTTGCAAGTCACTAGTTTTATTAATCTGCATTACAATAGAAAACAAACTGTAGATTTAACCCTGTTTGTCTAAATAATAAGAAACACTAAGAACTGAATATTTCTTTTCAGTTCAATATATTGAAATAGTTTTAAATCCATATGTTTCACTTGCTATACAGTTAGTTTTCACTTCCCTTTTGAATCCATTTTATCCATTAAAGTGTCATTGAGGGAAGGTCACTCTATTCTTGGACTACTTTTGAAAGCACTAAAGAAATATCTTGCAGACGATAGAGGAAAAAGTAAATCATGTATCTTACTAGGTTACTATATCCTGAAACATTAATGATAATTAAACAACTAATTCACTACTCATATCAATAAGCGTACCAAAGATTTTAGCCTGAAAAGTCGCATTAACAGAGTGGATCAGAGTCCAGCTTACTGTTTGTTCCTCTGTGGGATCCGGGTCCATCTCTGGTTGGGCCAGTTGGCAGGTCGACTCTCTCAGGTGACTTCTCTTCTGACTCAACACCTGTTTCAGTTCTGCATGAAGCTTCTCCTTCTGCACCTGAGACCACAGATAACATGCGGTCACATGGTCTGCAGGGTGAGTGGATGTTCTGATGAGAACAACTATCAAAACGTTTGGAAAAGTGTGGTTCAAATATTATTACTAATAATAAAACTGGGGTTATTACTTAAAACTATAATCTGTTACTACTCCACTGCTATTTCTCGATTTTTAGCACTATGCTTAGACAGTGATGGTGAAAGTGTGATGACTCCATGTCTTTTGTAAGCTGGGTTGGTTTTTTATTTAGATTTGTTCCTCCTTTTATCATTCTACTCTCTTTTTTGTTGTTTGAATTAGTGCAAATAAATGTTTGAGTTTTGGCTTAAATTCCTTGTGTTACTATCTTATTTTTGAACTGGTTATTACAAAAGCAGTTAAATTCACTAGAATTCACTAGTCCTGCTATTTCTTTTTCAACTTTTATGTATTTAAATATATTTTTTGATGGAATGACATCATAAATCATAAATTAATCAGTGTGCAACTGCTGATTTAATTAAATGTGACTTCCCATTGGTACACACATTAATGTAATTTGTATATTATCCATTAACTTAATGCATTTCCACTGCTATAAGTCATACCAATTGATGTAATAACCTTTTTTAGATGATTGAAGAAAAAAAGAGAATGCTAAAATACTAAAGAGTCAAAATGTGGTGTCACGTCAAAAAAGAGATTTAACAAATGTATACCTTTTGTAGTTAAATGTATATAAATATATATATAGGTACAGAAAAGTAAATATTGAGAAAATCATCCTTTATGTGCATGTGTTTGTTGGTGTATATACAAATATATATCTATTCAGAAAATGTGTGTATTATTAGTTTTTAAAATATATTTTTACATAATTTTGGATCTTATTGTCTTTAAACCGCAAAAATCTCTAGTTGATGTGCCTGACAGAAACCAACACGTGTCGCTGTCTCTTGACAAGCAACAGTCACTAACGCTCTGAATGTGGGTCAAAGTGTTTACAGGCTCCCTCACACCTGCAGCCGGTTTTAGAGCCGCCACATTCAGATGTTTTTTGTTGTTGACTCTGCGTCCAGCACCTGCTGCTGCTGCTGCTGTGGCATGAAAAGGCCACGACTGGCATCTGTGCTGAGTTGGGAGAAATGAAAGGTTGTTTATGTTGCGGACAATGACCTCAGCAGATCAGGCCTGGACCATTGTGATCCAGTTTGCACTGGCCTGGTGGCTGCTGGGGTCAGGAGGTCAATCACAATGTTGTGTTTTCATCTCAGAATTAATCTGAGCAACAGATTTTGCAGCTGCTGCTTTTATGGTTCAATGTCATACAGACTCTCATTCGGTGAATTAAAGTAAATCACAAGGATTTATCTCAGAAAAGTTCAATCTTTGATGAAAATAGTCATATTCAGTATTCAGTCATGTAAACGTTAGATAAAAAGAGAAATTCAAACCACAGTTCTGTGCTTTTGGTGTCTGATAAATGTTAAAACTCATAAAACTGTTCTTCCAGATGGATTTCACTGATATATTTCATATTTTACTTTATATTTTCATTTAATTTTACTAAATTGCACTTTTAGCATGCTCAAATGCCTGAATTGACAAGGCTAACATACTGATGCTAAGTAGTTGATCAGAATCAGCTTTTTGGCCAAGTAGGTGTACACACTCCTAGTGTACATACAAAGTGGACATACAGGTAATTAGCATTACACACAGTGTATTGCTGAGGCTAATGGAGAGGTCATCTTGTTTTTACACATATGAAGTTACCTTGAAAATGTATGTTTAGAATTAAAGATGAAATTAAATCAGTCGATCTCGGAGCTCAGTTGTTTCATTTCATGTGAATCCATCCAATAGTTGTTCACATATTTTATTGCAGTCTAGACCAAAGTGGTGTAATGAACAAAATGACCATATATACAATGACACGGGGAAACAACAATACAGTACAGTAAAACTAAGAAGATCCTACAATGTTTTTAATTTAGGATTTAGCATTCCTGTGACACATCAGATTTCTTTATCAAGAATTGCAGTCACAGTTTTTTACTAGACAGCTTTATCCAGACTTCCCAGGTTAGTGGATTTCAGTGTGTGTGGGTGTGTGTGTGTGTGTGTGTGTGTGTGTGTGTGTGTCTCACCACTCTCTCAGGGCTCTCCTGTTCGTCTGTGGAGCCGCTGTGGTGAGGGTTGCGTTGAGGGCCGGCGGGGGATCTGTCCGAGGGTGGTGACCGCCTCTTGTCTTTCACCTGCCCACAGAGAAGACGAGGGTGTAAAGTCACATTGAGACAGTTCATGCAGTAGCAGCTTTTACTCTTCAACCATTATTTTTGCACTGCAGCCGGTGGGAGCCTCCTCTGGGAGGATGCAAAAAGCAGGAGGTTCATGATGTGAATGTTCTCAGTTTAATTTAATAACCGCTGACATTCTCGGCTGTCGGCCTTCATTGCTCCAGTGAAGCTGCTCAGCAGGAGAGAACTGGTTGAACTGGGAGGCTCCTGGTGTTTGATTCAGTGTGTGTGAGGCGCTCTCAGCTTTCTCTGCAGCACTAATAAAAAAAGGAAATACGAGCTGTGGGGTTGTTTTACTCTGAGCTGCTGATCTTGTGATGCTGCTGCCATTAACTTGAGGATGTATTCATGACAAATCAAAGAAAAATCATTGACAAGTGAACTTCAGTCAGAATACAGAGGGAGTAAAATAATGGCAACATGGTTTTTGCCCATGAGAAAGCTAAACTCATCATCGTCTGCAAATGGCTGACAGTTTATTTTTTCTGTCACTCAATTAGTTTTAATTTCCTGAACCGGATTTTTAAAGAGACAGGTAAATTAAGTGTTTTTTTCTCCTGGATATAAGTATTGTTAGGTTTTGTGTTTTTTTTCAATTGCTCCTCTAGAAAGATTTCACCGGACTAACTCAGCTGAACTGGAGGTTGTTTTTCCTTTTACCTTCTTTCTGGAGGAAACATGTCATGTCCCATTTTCCCATATCTCCTTCCTCTACTCGCTCCATAAACTCTTGCATGGTGAATCTTGTATAAACATCCTGTTCTAACACTTCACCTTTTGTCAGGCTGCTGTGACCTTCAACACTTGTCTCAACTATAAATGTCCAGTGTGACGGTGAGCTAAATTCCTGAAAGAATAATATGTGCTGTAATCGCAGCAGGAGGGATGGTATTTCCTATTTTTTTGTCCTTTTATTGAACAATTATTCACACATTTAAACAATTTGCTTTTTAAACAGATACAATTAAGTTAATGGAAATTAATTTCTCATAGATAGATCATCAGTAGGTAATCTGTCCAGTGTATACTGTATATGTATAACTTTTAACTTTAACATAGTCACTTACATAATCTCTTGCACTTACACATTTATCTCTTTGCACACATACATGTATATTAGGATGGTACTTTTTTTAAGAGGGTGGATGGCTATAATATTATTATACAGGTGTTTTGATGATTCTTAATATTATAAACTCAGGAATATGTCATGTAGTAGAACTGCTATGACAATGTTTAGCTTAGGCCTGCTCTTCTACTGGATGTGGACATTTAATAACAGCTTTTAAATAACTCTTATTTATTTTATTTTGTTAGATTGATAATTTTTTTTAAAGATATCTATTTTAGTAGTGTGTTTAAGTAAAAAACAGGTCATACACAGACAATGCTTTATAATCATTCATCTATTATCTACACTGCTAGCTAACATTAGGCAAGAGGTGGGGTAAACCCTGTAAGTCCATCACTGGGCACATATATACTATACATAAAATAATATTCATATCTAGGCAGACACACGTTCGAACCCAGAGCCTTCCTGCTGTGAGCCAGCACCACTGCACCACCTGCCCGTTATATCTGTGGTCATGTCTACTCTAAAATATTATCTTATCTTATATATCTTATCTTAAATATAATGAATGAAATATTTGATGAATACTACACACAGCAGTGTGTCTCTAGGACATGAAGTAGTGAATTTTTATAGTTTGCAGTTTAGAGAAGATTATAGCTCCGAGACAAAACTGACAGAAGGTCAGCACCACAGACAGCTCCATAGATTAATCAATACACAGCACAGATTGACTATTGATCTGTCAGAGTCAAGATCGTGGCCTTAGATTCTAACCTCAGTGAGATTAAAGATCAATGAGTCCTCTCACATATTCACCCAAACAAACCCTCTGACCCTGCTCACTCTCTCTGCCGTCAGGGGACATGTCTGTTGCCTTTTTGTCAGTTTCAACAGAATCATAAAGCCACTGTCACAGAGTCTTAACGTCACATCCCTGTCATATCACCCACCGGCTATTATTATTATATTCAGAAATAGAGAGTTACCCATTCGGATGAGTTTAAATTGTTATCTCTCTCTTCTTTTTAATCCTTTCTTACATGAGGATTCACCTGTGAGTGTTTCACATAGTGATCGTATCAAATGAACAAAAATATACATATATTCAACTTGCTTGGTCACAATAACATGCAAACACACACATTAAATTACCATATGAAGCTTTACTGATTGAGGTCTTTTCATCCTCAGCACCTGCTAACTTTGGTGTTAGCTCTCTTACCTATGTATTTGCTCATTAATCAGACTATATGACCAGATCTCTCAATTTTCTCACATTCTCAGATCATAAGGAGGGGTGCTCACTTACGGCTGAATCTCTGGTCTGACTGAAAACATGGCTGTCCTCTTCTCTGTCAGAGTCTGAAACAGAAAAACACAACAATGCAGATCATTATGTGAGGATCTATGGAGAGCTGATTTTTCTAACTGGTCTTCTTACAGATAAAAGCACATAAACATGGACTTAATAGAAGTGACAAATGTACAATGACCTTTAATCTTAGATTTAAATGAAGGCCAGAAAAAAGAAACAAGTCTTAATGTCCTGTTAGAGTAAAGAAAAATCTCTTTTCTGATATTTAGTTCCATTTCTCCCTGTATTTCCAAAACAAAAATGTTTGGGACAAGTTTGCATACTGTAACATATAACAGTAAATTGGTAGCATTCCCAAGGGAGTGTTGCATCAGGTGTATGTCAGGCTTGTGCCTATGGATTTTAAGCATCTGAGTAGTAGTGACATGACCGTCAGTCTGAGGCTTCTGGGACTGCGAGTTTGAGATTCTTTCCGAGGTCTGGGTCACGGCGCTGCACCGGCTACCCGAGCCCAAACCATCTGCACGGAATCCACAGATGCTTTGAGGAAATCAATGCTGCTAGGTGAACAGGTCTCGACAAGCTTAATGAGAGAAGTAACGTATCCCAATAACTAAAAATGTTGTAATTCCTAATGAAAAGAGAAATGTAAATTGCACGAGACTGCCAGGGAACAGAGAGAACTAGCTGTGAAACTGTGAAAAGAGGAAGGAGCAGAAATTTCAGGATAACAGAGAAACAATCTGTGCAGCAGAAGATAGTTGAAACTTCAAACTGGTACAAAGAGCAGAAGCATCGTCGGCTGAACTTAAACCAAGTTATCCACCAAAACCTCAGGAGTCAAACTTGTATGTGAGGTGATGAGACCCTGACAGCTGGTGCAAAGAGTTAAATTAAGTTTCTGAAAAAAATCCACATCTCGTGACTTGCAGTCAAAGATCGTCGTGACTTTTGTGTCACATGATAAGAGGATTTTTTAATAGTTCGTGTTCAGCAACTTCATGTCCCTACTTTCTTTTCTGCCTCAAATTTGACATTCAGCAACCAGTCAACGCAGTGAGCAGGAGCCACTGAACCTGATACAGTATCAATAACTCACATCGGTTTTGAAACATCAGCAGTACGGGTTCAGAAAGTTTGAGCAAACGATCAAATAAAGTTGTGAAAGTAACTGTGAGTTAGAAGATGCATGAAAAACCTGTGAAAACTTTTGCAGAAATCCACCATAGCACAGAGTTGTTTGTATTAAATATGGACGAATTAAACTAAACTGCAGAGACGTTTGCTTAGCTCCTTTGCAAACACATTACAAATTGAATCAGTGGTTTGAATCCTGACCAGCTGTCAAAGAAACTTACCCTGATGGTGTGCGATCGCTCTGTGTGTACGAAGCACTATGTATAGAACAAGCTCTGAATGAATGTGTGTGATTGGGTGAATTTGAGCTGTAAAGACATTCAAGTAATTTACGACTAGAAAAGCTCATTATCGACGTTGTCCAAATTGAACATTTAAAAGCAGTCATTGATTGAAATGACGAGTCTGTCAGTTTAGCGTCCGTCCATCAGCAGCTCGACTTGTTTGTGAATCACTTGGACTTCTGTCTCCTTGGCCCCCTGCAATCTCATTCCTCACAGTCCCACCTTCATGTGATTACTTTTTTTAAACTGCATAGCTGTGTGTGTGTTTATTAAAGAGGAAAGACTGTGTGTGTGTGTGTGTGTGTGTGTGTGTGTGTGTGTGTGTGTGTGTGTGTGTGTGTGTTTGGGGGACGTGTAGAGTGTCAGTGTGGATGCCGTGCCTGTTTGGGTGGGTTGCAGGTATCTGGTGTCCAGCATGTTACAGGGAACACATAACACACATTCACTGCAGCTCGGCCGTCACTGTATCAGTCACAGAGCAGCAGACACAGGCCGTGATGGAACAGAACAAGGTTCTGAGAGGAGACCCTTCGTACATGAAGTGAAAGGTGATGAAAACACTGAGTCTCTTCTGCATCTTTCGCTCTGGTGCTGCTGCGGCGATGACAACAGGACGATCGGCTGTCAAGACTTAAGAATATTTCATGGATCTTGATGAAAAAAGCAAATTAAAGGGACAGATATTTATGAGTCTCTGTAATTTGGTGGAGCTTGGTCAAATGCAAGGAGACTGTTGGGCCTTGAGGGTGATATGCACTCTACTGAGTTTATATACTAGTGTATTCTGTGATACTTGGTATATTGAAACAGATGAAACTGTTTGAAACTGCTTTTAGACGTGAATCCACAATGTAACGTTTTTATATTTAATCATGATGAAATGAACATGATGGTGTTTGTTCTTTAATATTAATATTTTGTGCATTTAAACAAAATGTGAACGTCTTTCAAGAGGAGAATTCAAACAGAGACATTCATCTTGCTGTGTGAAGATCCGGCCTTTCTAAATATTATTTTTGTGCTGAGTGTCGGACATTTCATCAAGTGCAGCAACAACAACAGGTGCAACCGTGACACTGCTGCACTAACAGCCTTTAGCTGCTGTTTAATTAACCTCTGGATGGCAGATACAGCAGCAGCTGCAATGTGCAGGATGACACTAAATGTACACGTGAATTAAATGCATGAAAAGGGATTTTTTTAAATGGGCTCATTATTGGCCAATGTGGGAGATTTTGTTAAAAACTTTTTACAATCACCTGTGTTACCTGTGTGAGTTTATAAACTGTTGCCAAAATTTTCAGTGTAAGTAAATATGATTTTTAGCTACAACTGAAGTTGTGTAGCTTTGCACCTGACAGCATCTTTAAACTGCAGTGCTGTGTGACGGACAGACAGCAGCAGCTGGAGGAGGAGGCACTCCCTGGACACGGTGAAGGAATGGAGGCGTGGCAGAGAAGGAGGTGAAGATTTAAAATGTCTCACAGTCTTATTATAGATCAGAGTCATGTCTGCAGGCCCACACATGCCTGCCCCAACAAACATGGACCCTCAACCTTCTGCAGACATAGGTGTGTAGTGAAGTGTTTTGAAAAAAATATTTGATAAGCGTCAGCATGAAAACATAAAGTCTCCTGGATGATTCATAAATTACATTTTTGATTTACTGAACGTCTCAATACTTTAGTACCCATGACCTGCACAGCAAAAAAAAGTGTCATGGTTGGTGAATATGAGCCAAAATCCATCCACGTCACAGCTGATAATCGTAATAAGCCATTTGAGGTGTGAGAGGTAAAAGTTATACATTAGAAAACAATGCAGCGATGCTGTAACTAACAATCTGGCACATTGGGAAAAATCCTGGTCCTTCATTAACTTAGAAAGGTTCTACCTGTCCTCTATGTAGGGTAGCTGTGGGTCAGAGGATAGAACGGGTCGTCTAATAACCAGAGGCTGTGGCACCTGCCTACATTATGTATGACAGAGAAAGTGCTGCACATAAATGCACTGTATGAATCGAGACTAGAGATATATAAATAATATATCAATACAGAGCATTTACCATTTGTGCCTGTCAGTCAGGGTGGACGTGACGGTATGAATGCTGTTTGTCACTGGTCAATCACAACAAGGCCTCATTGACCCTCACAGAGCAGAGCTTCTTCAAATTTCATAGACAGGACCTCCTCATGCCCTGAGCTTGGAAGAGACTACGTCCATTCCAACAGATTGATTTGCTATCACTCCTCCCCCTATGGAGACAAGCAGACCCAAACCATGTCAGAAAAACAACCCCGCCCTACTCAGCAGAACCTGCTGTGAGCAGGTTTACCAATGTCTTGTAGCTGTGCAATAAAACAAACACACCCAGGATACTTGTAAATGCCAAATGTCATCTCTGTAAATTGATGCAGACTTAGATTAGTAGACACTGTTTAGTCTCTCTGGGGCCGGTCCAGTGTTTACATCCTGACAGACTGAACTCACAGATGTGATCACAGTGCCTTGTCAGAAAAAATATCCAGAGAGCTGAATCAAAAAGGCACAAACACAACAATATATGTTTGCTACTACATGATCCTATAAACAAATCAAATGTCACATCAGGCACAAACTCTTTCCATAAAATGTAAATAATAATCTGTCCGTTTATCATGAAAGGTTTAAATAGTTGTAATTTATTGGGTAAGAGACAGAGCGCCCTGCTAATATCATCTTAACAAAACTAATGTGCAGCTGAAGAGTCCTGCTGCTCCACACTGAGCTCTGGCTTTTAAAATCCTGGACAAACCAGAGTTAAAGAGCTTGTTGGAGCTGTCAGCCACTCTGCACTTTGTCCAACAGCAGCTGGATTAAGTTGTCTCCAGTATAGATCTGATAATGCAGGCGGGTTCCTGAGGTCACGGAAGAGAAAAGACAGCTTAAACATCATCTGGTAGCAACTTCTCATCTTTGAGATACTTGCAAAAGTGTGAAATGTGCTGGAATCGAGTAAATTAACTGATTGCACAAAAAGCTACGTCATGTTTCCCGAGGTGTTATTGAGCAGTGACAGATGCTTTTATAATGAGATCAAACCCCCGAGAGAAAACTTTCCCTGAACTGATCACATGGACCGAGCCCACACATGGAAGCAATCTAATGATCAACAATCATATAATCAATCTGTTAAAAGTGATAGACATAGTAATGTGACGATTTTTTGAATGACTTAACATGTGATTTATGGTCATCACCCTACTGAAACAGCAGTTAAAACTGGGATGGATGGATGATATAGATAGATAGATAGATAGATAGATAGATAGATAGATAGATAGATAGATAGATAGATAGATAGATAGATAGATAGATTGAATGTGACAATGTGAGCTGAATAGTTTTTCTTGTTCTTGCAGCAGACTTGTGCAAATGACCCTGTCGCTCTAATCCTTTGCAGAAGCTGCTCTCAGCCAATTAGAGATGGACAACTTGATGATGTTACAGTTGGTCGGTCATGGAACAACTCAAGTGTCCTCTGCAAAGAAAACAACAACTGATCTGTCCTTCCAAAAACCTAATAACATGTCTTTGACACAACGCTGCAGCGGTGATGCAGCGTGTGAGCGACAGCTGAGGATGTGAGGTTAGGATTTAGTCATGGACAAAGGTATTATCAGCAGAGGCCAGATAACGACAAAAATAGGTTTTCTTCTCACACACAGTTGCATAAGAGTGTGCACACACACACACACACACACACACACACACACAGAGGAAATACCGCTACGCTTCTGCATTCAGTGGCAGCCTGAACACACAGTAACACAAATCTTATTGGACCAAATTTTAGGACAATCACAAAACCAGAGGAGCGAAAACCTTTCTATTCCAGATACTAAACTGAATTCAGAAAAAACACAATGCATCCATTCCATTTTCAATTGTGAGATCTTGAGGTCAATTTTGGGCTATTTTGCTTCCAGAACATCTCTTTCAGAAAAATGGCAAAGAGGATACATTTGGTGTTTATTTTACTTCACTTTACTTTATTTTACTTCACTTTTACTCCTACATTCACAAAACCTCTTTAATTTAAAAGCCTGCAGGTGTCATCGCATATATCTCTCTCCTGAACAAACTTTTATTTGTATCATCAACCTGTCGTGAAAGTGCAAATTATGAAATTCCAAATTAATCTGCTGACGTATAAAAAAGTGACAACTACAACATGCTGCTCCACTCCAGTACTCTACTCTACTCCGTAACCTTCCTTCAGCTTTACAGAGACAAACTCTTCACACTCACACTAGAGTCTCCAATTAACCCAAGCTGCATGTGTTTGGACTGTTAGAAGAAGTCGGAGACACAGAGACACAGGACAACTTGCAAAATCGAAGGCCCAGTCCGTCAGGTTCCAACACAGAACCTTTTTGCTGTGAGGTGAGCGCCATGCCGCCCTAAAAGCAAAATGAAGCTGTAAATCACAGGCTGTGTTACTGATGCCACAACTTCCCTTAAAGCCCAGCAGGGACGGTGTCAGAGTTGTTGAGCGGAACATTTAGGAAGTGTTGCTGCTGTGAGCTTCATGTCTGAACCCTCCAAGATTAGAGAGACAGATTCCAGCATGGCTCCCGGCCTCAGATGGACAAAACAAGACACACCCGCAGGCGTGAGGAAAGGCCTCCATGTAAACAGGAAATAGAGATGTTTTGGGGAGATATACTCACCCAGCAAGAGTCATTTCAGGATATTAACCTGCACTTAAATCTTATATTTTACAGAATAATTATATTTAAATGACATTTGTTTACATGAGTCTTCCTTCTTGTAAAATCCTGTATACGTACATCAAGCAGTGTTTCCTCAGGAGTTGCCCCCTGCCCCTACCAAAACCACCCAATCGACTCTTGACCCAGCTTCCTGGTCTAAAATTAACCCCACCCACAACTGCAAACACCACCACCCAAAAGTATGTCACCAGGAAACTGCTCTCATCATCCATCATTTCATTTCTGACATCATTAAGTCTCAGTTCATCCACACACATGCACGTTTTTATTTATTACACATCTTCCAGAGCAACATGTTACCTCAAAATAACTCAGGTTATGATTTCTTAGAGTGAACATAATAACAAAATACCATGAGTTTGACACCTCCAACTTTATTTTTAACTTCAGCCTCAGGCCTGTGATCCCAGTGACAGTTTGTACGAGACAGAATTAAAGGAGTCCAGTTACTGACCTCCATTTAATCAAGTCCATCTGATAAACATATTAAAACATGCTCTAATGTGCTGAAAGCTCATAAACAATAAAGCTAATGCTTCCAAAACGGAAAAAAACACTGCAGTCAAGCTTCTGAATAACATTACATTTCATTAGATTTTAAGCCTGAAACATAAATTAATGCTTGACCTTTGACCCCAAGGTCTTCATGTAAGATAAGTTGCTTTATACTTCACAGTTAGGCCAAATTTATCCCATGATGATAGGCTCTGATTGGTTTATGACCATGTAGCTCGCTGGTGCCTGTTGCTACGGCTGAGATGTTTTAATACTACTTCGTTAGCACTGTAAAACATTCAGTTCACCTTTGAATTTAATTTCAGACCTTGTGAAGAACGTGAATTGAAACACAACTGAATGTTGGATATTACCCATGATCCCTGGCTTCCAGAACCAGAAGAGCTGCTGCTGTAACAGTTCAAACTCTGTTTAGAATTCTTCATATTTTAAAAGTTTCCTGCAGAATATTGGAGATAAACTCTGGTTTTTCCAAGTCTTCCAAGTCTTTTTAACAGTTCAGCTTTACTCTTCGACTTGCTGGACCTGAATCTGACAGTTGAAGCTATGACTCTCAGTCAGTTCTTCTCACAGGAGATCGAACCCACTCACCAAAGTTACATGGAACAGACGTTCAGGGTGAGAAGTGGGAACGAAAGAGGAAACATTCTCCTCTTTCACAGGCACACCTTATCATGCTGCTCTTTTAGTTGCATAGTTTTGCTTTAATTTACGTATTGATGAAATAGAAAGCCTGATATTCAGTATCTACACCAATACCTCAAAACCACCCAGTGCGTACATTATGTAACCCAGTGTCAGACGTGTGGATGATCCTCTGTCACAGAACGGGTGTGTTTTGGCGCTCGCGGCCTCTGAACCCTCTTTGGGCCAAAACACATACCAGGCTGGTGGGCGAGTTCTGAGGTGGAGCTGGAGCTGGAGGGCAAACAGATCTTGTGACCGTCACACTGCAGCTGTCGCTGGTGTGTAACGTTGAGACAGGGGCTATTTGAAATGATTGCGTCCGACCACGGCCAGTTCTGACGGCTTCAAGACGTATCATTACAACCACACCTGGGCCAAGTTCGAAAAAAAATGTAGATTGGATCACATGGGTAGTTTCAGAATTAGTCTTAACAAATATACACATATTTAAAGGACAATCTATTATTTGTAGGTGTGTTTCAATTAGACAATGAATTTACATTCCTTTAAATGCTGTGAAATACTGTTGTAAAATAAAAACGTTTCATTTTGGATGCTCCTCTTCTTCTATCAGACTTTATCCCGCCTCATCTGCATGTCTCAGTTTGATCTGTTATTAACGTCTGGTGACAGATGCAAGAATGTCAATGGGACAGTTTTCTCTCTGACTGTCAACTACAACCACATCTAGGCCCCATTACATGGGTTGAATTTAAGGTTAAGAATTATTTAAGAATTCATTCATAAGATATATTCAACATTTTATTATTTCGGATAAATTAGGTGCTTTTCTCTGTCGTCCAAGCTGCAGGCTCCACCCGTCTGGCACTTATTCAAGGTTTGAATAAATGTTATGAATAATCCTCAAGTGTTATTTGACCCAGGTCTCATTACAAAACACTGTTATAAACTTGGAGGCATAGTGACATGCCACACTGCAAATAGTCCCCATAAACCTCTGAATGCTCGAGTGTTTGTAACCAGCTACTGGCATGTTGGAATAAACACAAGCGGCAGCTGTTTTACTAAAACTAAATTTACACAGCATGCTATTGTTATTCTCTCCAAACGTCAGCAATGTGGAGTCACGCACACACACACACACACACACACACTTCTGTGCAGCTCCTGAGCGGCCAAATGTTATAGTGATATTTCAGAAATAAAATCTAGTTTCTACCAGGCCGTTTTAAAGCTGAATTATACAAACAGAGCAACACATGCACAGTCACCAATAGAAC